AAGCTGAATCAAACGATTAATATGCGAATGAAGCGGAGTCGTGCAAACAGGGGATGCAAACATTTCTGTCAATCATCCCTCCTTTTATCGATTCAAGTTTTTGTTTAGTTAACAAATTGGAACGTTTTTGTGTAGAATACTAAAAATTAAATAAAAATTCGAGCCAGAAACGAATGATCAAAAATCTTATCGCGCGCTCGGAGCTCCCGAAGCTAGGATAGCAGATGAATGAGAAACTAAGACGAATTGGCGAAACAACGAATTACAATAGCTTTTGGGGCACGAATTAATCACGAAAAACACAACAAAAACAAGAGAGAGAGAGACAGAGAGCAAGAGAGAGCAAGAGAGATCTCTGGCCGCGGGAACACGACGCGCAAGGGGGCGATACGAGTTAGTGGTACGTCTGCTAATTGGTTAATTACGCAGTGCGCCGCGTTTGTTTTATAATTGGACGAAACTCGGGAACCGTCGCTGCCTCGACGTGACAAACAACAAAACGGCCGAAGTCACGCTCTACGTGATGAACTACTCTTGAAGCTAATCCCGAGAACCGAGGGCGTCTCGACTTTGTGACCCTCGCCCCCGCACTTGCGACGAGCCCTTCCCTCCCGTCCTCACCCAGGGGCCGCTACTCCTGATTCATCGTCTGTTCACCTACCCGATGGCTCATCTCACTCTACTCACCTTTACGTAACGAAATAGATTGTTGAAAAAAAAAAAAAAAAAAGTAACGAACAAAACCTCAATTTGCCCGAATCCGTCGCTAAATCCGAAGGATTTTAGACAATCGCGCGCTCTTTAATTCGACTTAATTCCCTATAATTTCGGTATTGTGTCAGAGATACCTACAAGGGGACAAAAACAAGCAGTGGGAGTAATTCAGTCTCAATTAGAAAACGATTGACTGACTGACTGACTGATTGGGAAACGCTTTTTTAGTTGGGGTTGTGTGCTGCGCGAGCCCTCTTCGACTCTCAGCCCCCCTCCATTATCGCGGAGGTAATATCCCGGCTCGAACACGTCCCGTGTGCATTATCCACTCATAAAAAAAAAAAAAAATCCTGACCTGATCGATCGATACATCATACCTCTCCGTCTTTGATCCCCGCAAGAATTAAAAATTTATTCGTGATGTAAGAATGATATTACGTTTATATACGCGGCGTTCCAGCAATTTGTTCTTGATTAAAGATTGTTTTGCATCTGATTGTTGGCAGATGCTAACGTATTTTTGTTAGGATATTTAAGATATTAATCATTTAAGTTCACAAAAAAAAAAAAGTGTTTAGTGCATTTCTAATGACGTGCAAATCTCTTTCTAAGATGCACGTTCAATAGCGAAAAACAAAATAACTTACCGTACGACTGATATAAACCCATTGGCGGTGGAACATTTGCGTACATCGGCGGCCTGATACGATTTGTATGATGGCTGCAAACACAAATTATTGTCGTTTGCAACGTTTCGTCTCACGTTGATTGTAGCGATGATTGATACAGTGAATCGATTACTTACTCGAGCATTCTGTGTCCCGCTTGTCCTAGCGAAGCTGATTGCGTGGATCGTGTGAAACCGATTTGTGGCTTCCACTGATTGTCATTGTTTCGATTCATGGCGTCGAAATCCTGCGGTTTCAGAACGCGCGGCGGCTCCTTAGCTCCTTTCAGCTTGCGAGCCAGGAAAATATGATTGCCACTGTATTTAGGATCCTTGAATTTAATACTAGAAAAGAAAAATATAAAAGTTCAACGTTTTGCTTGGCGTTATTACATATACTTACTTATTTGCGTAAAATAAACAAATTCTATTAGTCTTAGATATATTTTTTCCAAGATATTTCTAAAATTGTGTAAAAGCAACATATACGAACCAATAAACTTTATTGCTCCTAACTGGTAAGCCTCTCACAGGTGATACCAATGTGCCTCCCTCGTTCACGCAATCTTCTGACAAAGAAACCGTGCCTCTCATCCCGTCAATACTTATTTCAATTTCCTTGTCAAATCCCACGCGATTTATATAAAGACCCTTTACAAAAGTATATCCATTGTTTCCTACACCAACGTACAATCTATCGTCGCCGCGCACATTTCGTTTTTCTAAAAAAACAATAACGTAATTTTTATTTCCATTTGTGTTTTCAAACAATCATCAATTTAAACGATTGTTTACACGGAACAAACACACAATCGGGAAAATATAACGCTTTCACGTTTTATATAACATTCAGTTCAAAAAAAAAAAAAAAAAAAAAAAAAAAACTATCACTCACTCTCTGCTTCAGTCAGGCTGTCATAATATGGCGCTAACGCTTTGAATAATCTGTTCTCGTCCACGAAGGGAAGCAAAGCTACTCCTTGCCAAGCGAATTTTTTTCCATTCAGATCAATTTTAAAATCTTCTGGATAGAAATCAATAATCATAGATTGCTGTATAACATACAAATAACATAATTTAATATGATACATATAATACATGTGTAATATGCGCATAAAATAACACGTATTTGTTCTATAATTACACATAAATAAACGTACAGGATCAGTCATTAATTTCGCCCATGGCGCAGGTACGTGTTTACTACTGGCGGCAGGAAATACTCCCATTAATTGTTCTAATGGACGAAACTGAAATAAAAAAAAATACATCAATTAATAGAGTAAATGAACGCGATACAGAGCACATAATTCATGAGATATTTGTTGCATACTGGTTCAGTGCCCTTTTCAAATTCGGTCGAAAGGCCACCAATGTTTATAAAATCGCTTGCAAATGGCGCATAGTGGTATGGAAAATACCACCTCCATGACGCACAACCTTGATAATAATACCGTAATACCCAACATAATCCCCGCACATATTGCAACGCAACATTATTTCTAGAAGCAAACAATACACGTGTATAAAAACATAAATTTCGCAAAGTAAAAATCTTAATTCCCGTCTGTCGCTGATAATAAATTATGTTATTACCTAAATGCAAGATTGTCGGGAGATACGTCAAACTTAGATTCGTAGTATCGATCCTTAAATCCATCTTCCCACAGTCGCACCTCGTCGTGCGCCTGATCATCATCCGAATCTTCCTCGACTTCTTCGATTTTACGTTTTTGCCCTCTGTTGCCTGCATTCTGTTGCGTGTAAAAAATTACAAAATTCACGAGATTTACGTTAGTGTCCCAATTACAATTGATTGGCAAACTTTTAAAGTATTTAAAGTATTTTTTATTGTCTTAAATTAAAATTACTTGATTACCTCGGGTGACAACATGCTCTCTAAAGCGTGATTGGTATTTGCATTCTCGGCACTTGTGTTGTAATTTCTACCCTGCATGCGCATTTGATAAGCCTCGTAACGCGCATTTTCTACAGGTTTCACCGTTTGTCCGGGAGCCTGCAAAGATAGTTTTTGTCGCATTGATAAATTAACTCAAAATGTCTAAAACCTAATTAGTATCGCACTCAACAATAATAACGCTCTAACTGCTTCGTTAACAAATTTTTCTTACAAAATAATGCACATAAAATTAAAATCTTACAGTGGGCGCAAATTGTCCGGTAGGAATCCATTTCGGTTTGAAATTGCTTATTATCTCGTTCCTCCTTTTTTTATCTTTTTCACGCTGCTTAAAAGCTAGTTCATTTTGCTGTCTTCTCTTAAAAATTTCATCTTCCGCATCACCGAGATCCGACATTATCACTTGCACACGATCTAAATTAACATCGCCGCTATCTGTCAGAAAGCCCTGCAAATAATTGGAAAAAAATTAATTTTCTGGAACTTTTAAAAAAAACTACGCTATTAGTTGACATTGTTAATTTCTCAAATATCTACACGTACATATTTTTTCCGTGTATATAAAATACATACATATAATACAAATAATTCATATACGTACTCCCGTTTTATACACTGCCTTTTTGTATAAATTGACGAGTCTGTCAATTGCACCCTCTCTAATTTCCAGAGAAGGGAGATGGGGTAAAAAATCATTTCCTACGAAGAAACACATAAACACCCAATCATCGACAGCTCGTTCGAAATCGTATTTGAATGGAAGATTTGGCATATATAATTCTCTCTCTAAATATTCTCTGAGCACATTTAACCGCACAAATATGTACTGGCATTCGGAACCGTATGTGTTCTCTTCTGGTTTTTGATTCGGCTCCGCGCCTGTACACTCGCGCATTTCGTGACCCAATTGGCCACATATATCGCACGGTTTTGGTTTATTCGGCTTAAACTCTTCGCGTATGATTGTAAAATTAGGCTCGTGCGTAGCGAGACCCAACATAATTAAATCAGCATCCGCTCCGCATAACACATGTTGGGTATTTGGATCATGATCGGGTTGTGCTGTATAAAACAAATAACATCGATGTAATTTAAAAATTTTGTGCGCACAAAATATTTTTTTTTTTTTTTTTTTTTTAGTTCTTACCTCTTTGTCGTCTAATGAAATCCATTATTTTATGTTCTCCTTCGCCGGGAACATTGGCGTCACTCAATATCACTTTGATATTTCTCCAACCCGGATCGTTATTCAAACGTTCATGAATGTAATAATGCAAGCACGATGATAATCGTGCCATGAACGGTGTGCCCTATAAAATAGAAAAGCTAGTTTACTTTACATAGACACATTGCAATTTCACATAATTTTATTTTCTCAAGTTTGTATTAAAACCGAAAATGCTGATCAAAAACAGTTTCAACACTTCTTCAATCAAGTTACGAACCGGTGTAATACAGTTGCTATCAAAATGTTCCTCCTTTGGTTTCTCAGGGGGCAAAAATACTCCTTTACCAGCCAACTCGGAACGTATCCTATCTATTTCATTAATTTTTTCATACGTTTCTTTTGACGCTCGAAATCGTCTAGATCTTTGCTGGTTCATTTTAGCTCTAGGTGCCTGCAACAATATACCACGCAATTATGTCAATTTATCTTTTTACGTTTTTGGTTTTGCTTTGTTTTTGTTTTTTTTTTTTTGTTTTTGCACTTTTTTTTACACCATACACAAAAATACATACAACTCCATCAATTGCCATATAAAGCAATTTTCTTGGTCTGACAATGCGAAACAATCTATCAATACATTCAAAAATAGCTTCCATCATTTCATCCTCATCTTTGGGCGCAGGTCTGTTTTTGGACAAATAAATAAGTATACATAGAAAACTTAATTAAACAATTTTCTGAGCAAGCTCGCACTTACTTGTCCTCGGGATGTGTACAAGGATGTATTATGCCATTCATGTCAAGATACAAATTATCGAATTCTACACCATTTGGATTTGGATCTCCGGAATTCACAGGAACACATACTCCATCTACGACTATAGGCTATATAAAAAAATTTCGATTATATAAAATAAATATCTGTCTGCATACAAAGTATCTGTACATTGAATTGTTAAATGTTTTTTATAGTAGAAAACTTTTAAACATAACTCTTATTAAGTAATTACAAATGCAGAACACGTTATTTCCCGATGTTTCCTTAATTATATAAAAACACATACAGAAGACTCATACAATTTATGCACACATGCTGATTATCACAAATTTATACGCAGTGTGATAAAAACCTCCGCATAATATACAAATACGGTAGCTTGTAAATAACAAAAGTACAAGCAAAAATCAAGATTATAAATGCACTTTTGTTGTAAATATAAAACAAAGAAATATTTTATCAAGCAATCTAACCTAACTTACCTTCTGCTCGATACATTCGACAATCACAGACGGATACTTCCGACTCAACCAGCGAAAAAACGCCGGTACACCCATATTTTTGTCAAAGTTACTTCAAAAAAAAGAAAGTATTCTGTAAATGAATCTTTTTCGGTAAGTTGTACTGTTTAAAATACATCAAAGCTACGGACACAACAGGACACAAGTTGGACGTTGGGTCTTTTTGATGGCAACATCGAACGAACGCCGCGGGATCCATTAATCGCACACGTAACCGAGATGATGCACAGATCGGTTCCTGTATTCGCGCGCATGCGCGACATGAGTGACGACCAACCAGAACAGAGTTTGCCAATGTTGACGTTGGGAGTTTTCCAGCTACGGGAGCTTTTCAGCGAGAAAATCTTATCACGTGACTTTTTTTGTCGCTCGTGAAAATGCACCTTTATAGGTCTGGGCGCTCCTGTCTTCTCTCTGGTAATACGTACACAAAAACACAAGTTAGCAGTCTAGGGTAGAATAATGTTTATGCTTGGTAACCGCCAACCGGTGTTTTCATCTTCAAATTTTTTGAGATTTTATTGGTCGCATATTACTTCTTGTAACAAAAAATGCCAACAGATCAAGTTCATTACTCCGAAAAATACTGCGACGATAAATACGAGTATAGGTAAGTCAAGATTCAAGTGTATCAAGTGTATGTATACGTGCATATAAAATGATCATCGTATAAACATTTGTAGGATAGTTTGTTAAGTCGTCACAACAGAATGGTTTGTGAAAAACATTTGAAAATAAAATACTTTAATTAGCAAATTAGTTTAGTGTGCACACACGTACATAATTTTATTCTGATACATATTATGTATAAGTTACATATTTTTTATTATTAAATAAGGTATTAAGTGGAGTATTTTAACATATAAATTTTTATTGTGTGTAACATCAACATTTATTTTAGACTGGAATTAATATAAACTGTCATGTTGCAGACATGTGATACTACCGAGTGATCTTGCTAAGCATGTTCCAAAAACTCATCTCATGACTGAATCAGAATGGAGGAATTTAGGAGTCCAACAGAGTCCTGGATGGGTTCATTACATGATGCATGGACCAGGTACAATTTAATAATAATATGAAGAAAATAGATAATTTAACATTGATTAATATGTATATTATTACTTATATATATATATTTAATACACATATAATTATATATTTGTTTAAATAATTAACATACATTTAATCTTATTAATCAAATTGAATTATTTTTCTTTTGTAGAGCCACATGTTCTATTATTTCGCAGATTGAGAACTGATCTGATGCCCGTATCTAAACGTACTTCTTTACAAAGACAACAACCTCTTGATGTACAAATTTATTGAATTTTATAAGATTTAAGTAAGGTAAATGTTCAGAATGTTGATTGTATATGTTTTCCCTATTTTAATAATATAAATATTTAATTGAGAGAAAGAAAAAAAATTTGTTATTAAGGAGTGGAAAAATGCTGCTTTTTTAATTATTATTTTTACTTTTTATACGTGTATACTATGTATATATTTATGTATATATACATATACATATATGCTGACAAAATACACTCGTTTAATAATTATTAGAGGTATCGAACCATTTCGAACTCGGTATCTCTGAATCTAATTTTACATCAAAAATAGTTAATATTACACATGTATAGTAAACATTACTTACATATTATTAATATTGTAATCTTATATTAAAATGTTTAGAGCTAGATGCCAAAGTGCAAAAGTTGTTAAACATTATGTGTCCGACAAAAAAGAGACATTTATATTTGACACAATAATTTGTATGCAAAAGTTCGATGTATTGCTTGCGTGCATCATAAATTATAAATCTTTTTTTTTACAGTTTTACATGCTTGTTCGATAATCTATAATTGCTTTCGGCGATCGGAGACATGCACGAATCTTCGCCATTGATATCGAAATTGATTAACCTTGTGAGATGTTTTTCGTCGAGCACACAAATATAATGCAGTTGAAGCATGACATCATCGGTTTAACATGTCATTCACAAGTCACGACATATTTTACAGTCCTTATGATTAACGACCATTTGGATTATTCCGCATTTGCGTTCTTCTAAGTAATTATCTACATCGTTCTCCGATATAATTCTCCGGCTGTTTTATTTTTTTTTTCTTTCAAAAAAAATCTAAGTTTACACAGCAAGTTTTTATTCCAAGCGATGGATACAAGTATAATTTAATAAATATATAAACAAATATTTGAGAGAAAACCTTTTTTATAAAAGAAACATCTGAGTGCGTTGTAACAACATTTGTTATTTAAACAACTTTTGCATATATATATATAATACATATAATTACATGTACGTATAAAAGAGCGATAAAAAAAAAAAATTTTTTTCTTATAGCTGAGAACGTTATGTTCAAGTAAATGGAAAACTAATGCGAGGAATACGTAAGATCGCGTGCGTTTTTCAAATGACACAAATAATCCGACAGGGATAATAGCAACGGATTGATAGGAAGCATTCACGAAAGCATGCGAACTATATTTTAATAGCTCCATTAGCAATCGGAAGTACGGTGTTGCGCGAGCGAAAGAGGAAGAATTGCGGTTATATTCTTACTTATTGTCCTTTTCCAACGTTTTTTTTTTCTTTTTTTTTTATCGATTATTTCGTAATATACAAGAGATTGGGGGTAGGGAGACGGTATAAAAGTATGGATGGACATGTTCCTGGTTGTAAGTTGGGAATTTAAAGTCGCGTCTGAGCGAGGACTCGGCGGAATGATCACTTCGTGATTGTTCTCAGCTGGTTTCATCAACGTGTGCTTTTTGCTGCGCAATCTCGAGTGTTGTGTTTTCACTCAAACAAAAAACGTATTGTTAATCGAATCGAATATATTTTTTCACAATTTTAAATTGCATACAAGTGACGTAAAAAAAAAAAAAAAAAAAAGAACTTGTGAGTATACGTTGTATTTTTTTTAAGATAGTGAGTTGTATTTTTTTTTTTAAGATAAAATATCGATCGCAATTGGCAATGGGGAAAGAAGTACATCTCAGAAAATAATCATCTTCCATTTTACCTTATTTGTATACAAAGTTTTTTTTATTTAAATTTTAAAAAGTTTATTCAATAACCAACTACGCGCGATTGTTAATCTTTTTTTGCGATTTGTAAATCTTTTTTTTTTTTTTTTGAGTTGCAATGTTCGAACAGATGTCGCAGGCGATATGGTGCGTCATCGGAAAAGAAGATCGTCGGCGCGAACAAGGCGGACCTCGTTAGTTGTGCGAAACGCGCTTCTGGTGAACGAAGCGGCCGTCTATGTGAAAAATGGAAATTACAACACAGCCATATTTTTGTACAATCAAGTAAGTTGCTGATAGAAAAAGAAAAACACATAAAAATTTGTTTTTTAAGAAAAAAAACATGCTTTTTTTAAACGCGCTCATTAAAAATACACCGCCATGTGTTCACAAACATCACGTGTAGAACTTGTTTTATCTCGAAGATAAAGAGAGGATATATATTCGAACATGTGAGAAACACATTTGTGACACAAAGGGGTGACTTAAAGAGGTAAGATGCAACGCGCGAAATCAAAACAATATGTTTTTTTTTTTAAACGCAATCGAACCCGATTAAAACCGAAGCGATGTCTGTCTACTTGATTCAGTATTTTTAATTCAATACTTGATTCAACGCTTCCGGAGATCGCAGAGTGGTATTTGTCTCTTGCCGAAACTATTGTTACCCGTTTCTAAGGAAACAAAACTTCTTGCGCTTTGAGGTGTCGATAGTTGCACGTATCTTGGCACGTAGACGACGCGAGAGTTATATTTTGTTCAAAGATTCTCTAATTTCCGCTTGTGTTTCACACACAAAGCAAACAAAAGTTTTTCGATTGAAAGTTGCGTATAGTATTCTAATCGAGCCGGGCGCGATTTTTGACACGTAAAAATTCGAGAGAAACGTGTGTGCGAAAATGAGCGACGGTCAACAAGCCGAAGAGGAGAGCGCGGCGAGCACGATCGAGTATCACGTTATGGAGGTGCTGAATCCGAGATTGTATCATCACGACTTGCTGCAAAGTTACGTGCGTACCGAAGTTTCGGATTCGAAACAGGATGAGTCCGAGGACGCGGCCAGAGAGACGCGCTCGAGCGATTACTCGATCGCGAACAACGGCAATAACGACGACGGTCGTGATCAGAGAAAGAAACGGGACAACAAGAGCGAGAAGGATAGATTCGACGCTATCGAGTCCGAAATGAAGATACAGAAATCGAGAAGAAAATGACGTCAACACGACTGCGACAGTCATCGGCAGGAAGAGGTGTACACCGATAAAGATCGCGCAGCCGCCGTCAACACGGGCACCACCGACATAAAGCAATCGTTAAAGATAAAGCAACGCCAGGATCGCAGCAAAGATCTGCAGATTCCGGAAGAAACCGAACCCGGCGCATTGCTGACGCTCGGTTTGCGCGAGATGCGATTCGGTGACGTTAATGTTGCCATAAACTGCATCAATAAGGTTCACTTGCATTTTCTGTAAATAAACATATCTCGTTTAATTCGTTTAATTCGACACAACAGCGGGAAACCTTCGGTTATAATACGAACAACACTTGCACGTTTCACGTTTCGGTGCGAATTGAAAGTCGATTTTGAAATTGAAAGCTTTTTGGGAGATAGCCCCCATTTTAAAAATACAATTTTTTTTTTTGAAAAAGCATATTTATTTCATGCAACAAATACAACAAAAATATACATTTCTAAAACAAAAACATAGGAAAAAAAGAAAGCGATAAATGACGTCGTGAAATATTTAGTTGATGTAAAACCTCGTTTTTTCAATTTGCACAATTTTGTTTGTATCCAAGTCACATAGTGATTGAAAAAAATTTATTTTGACAGGCACTGGATATGAATCCCAATGATAAGAACGCTCTGATAGCGCGGAGCAATTGCCATCTATTGTTAGGAGAGCCGCGAAAGGCGTTGAACGACGCGGAGGCGGCGTTGCAATTGAATCCGAAAGATTCGAATAACGCGAAGGCGGTTTACTGCAAGGCGGAAGCTCTTTATCATCTCGGCGATTACGAAATGAGTTTGGTGTATTATTATCGCGGGATGAGAATTCGACCGGAGTACGGCCAATTTCGTCTTGGTGTTCAGAAGGCAAAGTACGCGATACAGAACGTATTGCGCAAGGATTGATATGTTTCTGCTGTGAATCGGATGATGTTTCGCATGTGTGCGTATATATCAGCAATAAAATAACAGTAAAATGTAGGTATGTGTGTTTTGTGCTCTTGTGATGTCAAGACACGAACATAAATTACTAATCTCGCATGTTTTGCTCGTTCAGCTGTGTAATTTGTTTTATAGCGTAGATTTGTTTGTTTTTTTTTGTTTTTTTTTTTTATAAACGCGATGATATACAAATTTCGTGACTTTTACAACGAGCTTTAGAGATGTACGCGTTGTGTTTTTATTTGCCATGAGATTGTGTAAAAGCCAAACTATCTTCCTAAAACGTGTAATACTGAAAATACCAAAATCTCACATTATTCAATAAAAATCCTTCAAAAATATCCCTTCCAGAGGTGAGAACAATCGAAGTTCTAAAATCTGCCTAGCGATTCCCAAACGGAATTCGCATTCTCGAAATTATTTTCGCACATCTTTTCTATCACTTTGACGAAGCCTGTCATCATCTGATTTTGTAAAATTGTAAAATACATCGCGAAAAAGTACAACCGCGAATTATAAAAATAATAATTACAAAAGTGAAGAAATATTTAAATTAAAGATTATCAACGTTGTGCGAAAGACGGGCGAGTTCCATCGCTATGGCTTCCGGCAAATCGCTTCCCACTTGAGACTCGAAGTACTCTCTCAAGTCGTCGACTTCTTTTTTCCAAAAACTTTTCGGCAGCCTGAATAATTCCGTCATATCCACGTCGTCCTTGAGATTTTCCAAATTGATGGATCCAGGTTTCGGCAGCAAACCAATAACTGACTCCTCGGCGACGTCTTCGCCGTCGATTCTTCGAAGTATCCAGTCGAGGACGCGCGAGTTCTCGCCGTAACCTGGCCACAAGAACTTACCGTCCGCGTTCTTCCTGAACCAGTTCACGTGGAATATCGCTGGCAACTTGGCGTTTTTCACGCGCGCCATGTTCAACCAGTGGGCGAGATAATGACCGAAATTGTAACCGAAAAAGGGTCTCATAGCGAACGGATCGTGAAGTATTACTTTACCCTGTAAAATATGTAAATAATTAACACTTTATTTTATTAATTACTTTCAGTTAAAAAAAATAAAGAGTAGTCGATTATTTGCGCGAGATTTTCAGCATTCGACTCTAAAAGTATATCTCTTCAAGAATCTGCGAAGCTCACGCGTATTTTGTTTTGTTTTTTTTTTTTTTTAGTCTCATTTTTCATAGTTGAAATAATTAAATCAGACACAAAGATAAATGCGTCTTCGCGCGCACCTTGTGTTCGGCAGCGGCTGTAGCCTCGGATCTCATTGTAGCGCCAATGAAGACGCCGTGTTGCCAATTGCGCGCTTGATATACCAAGGGCACGCCCTCGGGTCTTCGGCCTCCAAATAATATAGCGTCAATCGGAACACCTCGCGGATCCTCCCAAGAGGGATCGATTATAGGACATTGCTGGGCCGGAGTGCAAAATCTCGAATTTGGATGAGCGGCCGGTACTTTGGAATCTCTGGACCAGTTATTACCTCTCCAATCGACCACCTATGTGTGTGTACGTACACGACAAAAATATATTATTTATTTAAAAAAAAAAAAAAAAACCGAAAATTTTTTTGGCTAGATGAAAAATATTGTTTATCTCACAAAAAAAGAGATTGTTTTGCACCTTGACATTATCGTCGATTTCTTTTTCCATTCCTTCCCAGAACACTCCTCCGTCGCTGGTGGACGCCACGTTGGTGAAGATGGTGTTTCTGAAGATGGTCTTCATCGCGTTGGGATTCGTGGCCGAGCTTGTGCCCGGAGCGACCCCGAAGAATCCGTTCTCCGGATTGATGGCGCGCAATTTACCCTGATCGTCGAATCTCATCCAAGCGATGTCGTCTCCCACGCACTCGAGCTTGTAACCCGGTAGCGTGGGTTGCATCATAGCTAAGTTCGTTTTGCCGCAGGCGCTCGGAAAAGCGGCCGCGATGTAACGCTTCTTGCCCTTGGGATTTGTGATACCCAATATCTAGATCGGGAGCACAAACCCGTGTATCTCGATACATGTAATTCCCCAGCGCACAAAAGACGTTCGAAGGACGTCGTATAAGAGATATTTAAAAAAATTGCTAAAATAATTTATTTTTCTCTTTGGAAGATTTTTTTTTTAAACATCTTTCGAATAATTTTTGCGCTGCCTGGATGTACGCGCGAAAGCTTTTGATCTGACGCAGCGCCACATCGTAAACAACAAACAATGAAAGAAAAAATGCGACTTGCTGATAATTCGAGAAAAACACTGCGGGAAAAATAAAAGAAAAAAAACGACAAATAAAAATAAGCATAAGTAAACAACGTACGAGCATGTGTTCGGCGAGCCATCCTTCCTTCTTGGCTATCGTCGAGCCGATTCGAAGAGCGAAACACTTCTTTCCAAGCAAGGAATTTCCGCCGTAGCCGCTCCCGTACGATACAATTTCGTTTTTCGCGGGTCGGTGAAGAATGATCGTTCTCTCCGGGTCGCACGGCCACGACTGGCTCGCACCGATCTTCGACGGTGGGTGCTTCGAAACACCCACCGAGTGCAAACACTTGACGAAGTCGTCGTCTCTCAGCGTCTCGAGCACCTTCTCCCCCATTCTGGTCATTATCCTCATCGAACAGACCACGTAAGCCGAATCGGTAATTTCTATGCCGATCTTCGAGAGCGGAGAACCAACCGGTCCCATGCTGAAGGGAATCACGTACATGGTTCGTCCTGTTCGCACGCGATAGAACAATAATTATTATTTTTTTTTTTGTTTATATCTCGCGCGTAAAAAAGAAATTACGCGCATATGCAATGAAATGTTTGTCCAACCGTTCATGCAATTCGGGAAACGTTCCAGAATAGCTTGCTCCATGTCGCTCGGAGATATCCAGTTCCCGAGCTCGCCAATTGTGCCTTTCCGCGGTGTAGGAATGGCGTTGTTTCTTTCGTCCGTGCTGATGAACGTGCGCTTCTCGACGCGCGCCACGTCCGCGGGGTTGGTTCTCGCCAGCCAGCTGTATGTGACACACACAATTTGTAATTACGATTCGATTACATTTATTGCGATAAATATTTAATGCAAAAACAAAAATATAACAAAGTTTATATATGAGAGACGTACCAATTTTCATATTTGGGCAGGTTTGTGATGGTTCCGCTGTTCTCGAGAACTTTCAGCAATTGCGCGTACTCGACATCCGTGCCGTTGCACACGTAAACGTCTTTGGGCGAGCACAGCAGAGCGCATTCCTCGATGTAGCGGCGAAGTTTCGACGAGATGTCGATGGCGCACGCGTTCAACAGCGGTATCTTATTGCCGATGTAATCGTAGCCGATGGGTTTGACCGATGGATTCTTAGCCACGTGAGTTACGAGAAACTTCGGGATTCTGCAAAGCAATTAAATTTGAACAAAAAAAAAAAACAAAAAAAAACTTGCGCGCCGAACGAAGAGAAAAGAAAAAACATATTTCTTCTTCGGAGACGGAAGAACATTTTTTATTTTATTTTTATTGCAACAATTCGTTGATATTGTTCTTTTCTTTATTGTACTTAAAATTTGTGCCAATGTTTTACTTACTGCGCGCGATAGATATCGACGGCGTGCGGCATTTTTCGGGCTTTTCCGAACGTTAAAACGGATAGTGTGGAAAAATGCGCGAGTCGATTGTTAATCTCCGATGACATGCGCGACGAGTTCGAGTCGACGTGTTGCGGAAAATTGCCTCGAACGAAACAACGACGGTCGGAGAAATCTCTTCTGCCGTCGAATCGTCGCGAAAATCGGACCAAATTCTTCCAGCAAAGTTTCGGCGGCATGATTCGTATTCGTTAGAACGTCTTCCTTATATGCGAAACGGTTGGAATGTAAATTTATCTTCGGACAAGCCTTCGCGAATCTTCCCATTCGATTGGTCGACGGCGAGGAGGATATTTATCACCGTTGGACTTCCGACTCATGTGCGGAGCAAGAGATAATCGTGACGTATCGGACAATCCCACCCGGGATTGTTGTTCGATTTAAAGAATGACGAAACGTTCCGATCAGTCTCGATTTCCACGAAGAGACAGCTGATGCGCACTATCTTTCGGCAGCTATGCTACACAATCAAGGCGGTCGTTCTCACTGGCTGAACAGAATCATAAATTGTTTTGAGTTTCAATCTGAAAAATTCGATGAAGAAATAAATTAATTGATTCAATCAAATGAAAAGAAAATTATCTTAAATTTACCGGGACGTTAAATTGTTTCAACAAGAGCCGCGAGAATGTCGAGAACTAGTTAGTTAAAACTTCTCGCGACGATCGAGGGGGAGCGATGTAAAAGTCGCGCGTTTCACGAAAGTAAAAGCCAATTCTCCTCCGTGGTGAGGGTAAATTAACTATTGAACTTGCTCAAATCGGAATTAACGGGAGCTGAACGGGACCGAGATTTTTTCCAAACGAATAAACCAGTTATATGCGATATGTAGATACGCTCGCTCGTTTTATTTTTCCAGAGAGATCGCGCGCTTGTCTATATACCATGTATAACTCATATTTCGCTATTCACTTCTCTCCAACACGGAGTGAAGAAAACTTACCTGTATCTCGGGCTCCGCCGTTGGAAAAAAAACGAGCGTGACACCGGATCGCATCGCGCTTCCCGCAATTGTATATCCAATCGCGGCGAAACGATCGTGTCTTTTATTTGGGCACACGCGGATCCACTTCGCAGCCTCACCGGGGGGAAAACAAACGATAAGCGATAAGGACTCTTGGCAGACTTTGATATTTACCAGCAAATATAGAATGCTACCGCGCAAGAGAGAGAGAGAGAGAGAGAGAAAGAGAGAGAAAAAAAAAGAGCGAAAGAGAGGAAGTTGTTCGTATCGTCGAAATCACCTGTCGTCGTGAATCGAAGCTGTGTTTACTAGAGACAGGTCTTCTATCTACAGTCTTCTCACGAGAGCCATAAATGTCTTTGCGGAATTGTTCCGTGATAACGATTGACATCTCGGCTACCTTCCCAAAATATCGCACACGCAAGACTCTGTTTCGGAAAGAAAAACAATACATGTATCTTATTCGTTTTTGCACAGATGTTTCCACGATTGTTCTTACTGATTCAATTTTTGTATTTAATAATCAAAGAACACAAGGGGAGAAATTGAAATAATTTTGTTGCTATACGTCCCACTGATGGCAATGCAATAATAAATAATTAATTAACAGTTTTAAGTCTGTTGGGACGATTAATTTCATACGAGACAAGAAGTTAATCACGGAGTAATGTTTTAAATCCCGCGTACATGTGTGGGTTTTATAGCTTAAAGTCGAGAGAACGCGAAGCGGTTTGTTTTCTTTCTTTTCAACGCCGTGGTCAATAAACAATCGCCATGTTCACTTGTTATCTCGCCTTTTTTTCTAAGAAAATATCGAGATTTATGCACCGCATTTTTATCGGACCCAGACGATAGGTGGACTACGGACCAAAGACTACGTGGTCTCTATCGGACTCGACTGATATAAATATGTAAACAACGCAGTTTATTCGTGTAACGATACACAGATGAGTGATAAACAAGTGAGTTAAAAAAAAAAAAATTTGATCGGATAGCAAAAGAACCTATGGACTTATTTGGGTCATGAACGAGCCAAATTTTTATATGTACGTAAATATTTTGTTTGAATCTTTGGTCTATTCTAATATAAAATTGCTTCGATTTGCGTTTGCCGAAGGAGTTCTTTCGAAACATTGTGTCACGCACTGCTGAATTACAAACTCGCAACTGGCGAAATCATACGCGCGCGCGTGCACACACACACACACGCGCAAATCATATACGCGTGACCTGACGTAACTGGAGGCTCGCCCATGTGTGGTTGACGTTTATCGATATAAGATTTCATAAGAGAAGGTTTGACCGGAGCGCAATATGATGTGCGTGTACACTGACGGTGATTTCGTAAGAAAACAACGTGTCTAAGTTCTAATAATGTATTTGAATGCCGCAAATTGCTTGATAAAAATCTGTTAAATAAGATTTTGGATTATTGTTGCAAAATAAAGAACGAGACGTGTTAAAAATAACAGAGACATGTTCTTAAGAAACCTGTCACATACATTCAAACCTCCTCTCTCTCCCAATCTTTTACTCGCAAGATCTACATACTCACTTGTTAAATTGTTGCTCAATATTATTCGAGAGAGAAAGGAGACCCCCTGTGAAGTGTTTTGTCGATCACTCTCGACCTGTATATATATATATATTATCACGATCTTTAACCCCGGTACTTCACAATATAAAGAAGGGGCAAATTCCGCTTGTGTGATCGAGTTTATCTGTGAGTCGTGCACCACAGATTGGACCGTGACGAAACATTATTTTCGAGATTGCGAGAAAAACTTTGCGACAACTCATCAAATCATTTGTTTCGCAAGCAATAGAAAGAATAAACTTGTTGACACGTACATGTTTTCTGTAATCAATTGAAAAAATTACATAAAAATGTGAAACATAATCCCACGCAGAACGGAAAAACTCCATCGGATAGTCCGTTAGAAGTCAACAGCTCCATGAGATATCTAACAGATGTCTGATGGAGGTTTTGTGGGACTTAACGTACGTACGTAAGAGTTTACAAAACTACAATAATAAAAATAAATTAATATTTAAATATGACTTTGCTATACTTTCGATTACAAATTTATCAAACACGTCATTCCGTCTTTTCCTTATCGTCGTGTCTGCGTAATTTAGGTTTGCGATAGTGTCATCTCCGTGTTTTCTGATCTCGAAGTCCAGACGGTCTAAGAGCGAAGTCGAACTTCTTGTTTCTCTTTTTTTTAATAATATTCGAGATATTTCGAAGGTTAACCTCCTCGATTTCCCAACACTGCTGATAATTCAGAGAAGCATCTTTTTTTTATTTTCAAACAAGATTCCGATATCGTCGTAGACTTTGTATCTCGAGTAATTCTTGCGCACAATTTCTCTTTCTGTTCAAATTTTTTCACGACGGTTCGCGGCGTGCGTTCAATTTTGTTGCTCGTTCGAATCACTCTTCGCGCCGCTTGTCAGATTTCGATGCGAACGCTCCTCAAGTCCACGCAACGCGCGGTGAGGTGAGGAGCAGCGAGTTGCCCGATGACGATTGGAGATTGGCCAATCGGAGCAAGCTCGGTCAGCGAGGCCTGTTTCGCTTCGATTGGTCCGCACAACCGCACCCACGTCTTCGTGCGCGATGCGAGTTTAAAGCGCTTTTGTCTTCGAACGGAAGAAGCTTTTCTTCATCTATTTCGCACTCCGCGGCGAACATCAGCTGTTTGATGACAGTTTGCCAACTGTGTAAGCAAGCCACGGGAGACGTACAGACAGTGGAAGAGGCTCATTGTTTGGAATGTAACTGCAATATGGCTATCTGGTGATTGCTATTCGAGTCTTCGACGAGACAAAGGAACGTCGTAGTTCCCGCAACAATTTGTGTCACTTTTTGCGTCAAACATAATATATATATATATATATCTTTTCTCTGGTTTGATCCGAACCGAGTTGAAAAAAAAAAAAAAAGAAACGAGACGCGATGTTGGAACTCGAGGTGGTGCCCGAGAGATCTCTTGGATGCGAACAATGGGAATTTATTTTAGGCAAGTGGCGAAATATTGTGCTTGCGAGCGCGAAGACTTGCGCGCAGATTTTTCATTGAATTTATTTTTATTTATCTCGCTCGAGTTTGGAACGCGATGTACAACAAGCGACTGTCGGTTTATGTTATCTGATGACATTGACAGTGATTTTACATTGTTTACTGTATTATGATTGTTTGTGTTCGACACGTTGGTCCGATTTGAAACTAATAACAACATCGTCTGTTTTGATTATGTAATCCGCATGACACATTTATTGCGAATAAATATACGTCTTCCAATACATATGTGTATGCGTGTGTGTGCAGTAATCTACACACACACACACACAGCAATCTACATATAGTTACAAATCTCATCAAATTTATTATTTCTTTGTTCTTATGAAAGAGCAAATGTTCAAATCACTTGATGTGCGTGTACCAAGTATTGGTCTGTTTCAAAATGAAAGATTTACATTTAAATTTGTATTTTAGGTATGCATTTTTCCCAATCGGTATCGATCATCCAGTCTCAAGTTGGCGTCATAAGAGGTGTGCAAGTACTTTATAGCGACACTGTAAGTACGCAATATGTTCGCAATTCGCGGCCAATTGGTTTTTTTTTTCTGTTTAAACGAAACAAATGCACTATACATAAAAAAGACTGTTCGTATTCCAGAATCCATTAGAAGTAGATCTAGTAATAAATTTGCCTCACGACGGCATTCGGCTTATATTTGATCCTGTTGTACAAAGACTGAAAATAATCGAAATCTATAATATGAAATTAGTCAAACTGAAATACTGTGGTTTGCCATTCAATTCGCCAGAAGTATTACCCTCAATTGAACAAATAGAGCACTCCTTCGGAGCAACTCATCCCGGTGTATATGATAGCGAAAAACAGGTATATTACACACGCACAGGTTTTTATTTTGTAAAATTGTATTTAATTGCACAAATATGAGAAACTCGTAGAAGTAATTATTAACTTGATGCGACTCACACGTGTAATAAAATTACAATAATCGTTTATATACTCTTAATTAATCGGTTATTCTTTTTATCGTGGCAGGTGTTCGTTTTGAATTTCCGAGGATTGTCATTTTATTTTCCAATTGATTCGAAATTTCAACCTGGTTATGCTCACGGTCTGGGATCATTGCAGTTCCCTAATGGAACATCTCCTTTGGTGGCAAAAACAGCTATTTACGTCGGAAATATGCCAGCTGGTACTAATAGCGAAGAGCATGGTTCAAAGACTCCGCCGCCAGCTCTGCCACTTGTGATTAAGCATTTTCATTTTGCCTCTTCTCTATTTTCTAGAGAAAAGTAGTTAAATGTACGGAATATATATCTATATTTTTTGTTTGTTATAAAAACAGGTGTGTTATCACAACAACTTGTACTTGGAGAAAGCTGATATTATCAGGGACAAGTCACGTACAAGAGGACTCAGATTACGCCTCTTCACGGAAGGTAGTTCTGGAACAAGAGGAGTGTTGGATCCGAAAAAACGATGTTTGACCAAAGAAGTATAACGATTTATATTATTACATTTTTATATTATTTTTTCTATTATGTTGAAATTTTTTTTTTCATCGATATGATCCATTATTTCAGGTATTATTCGGCGACACTTGTGAAGATGTCTTAAGCGCTCTTGGCGCCCCATCCAGGGTGTTTTACAAAGCCGAGGATAAAATGCGCATTCACAGTCCGCATGCGCATAAACGAGATAAGATAAGACGATCGGACTTCTTTTACAATTATTTTACTTTAGGTTTGGTAAGTATTTTTTTTTATATTTTTATTTTTATTATATCGTAATGAGACACACATCAGCTCTTGTGTGTCTTCTGATCTATTATTGACTTCATTTTCCGTTCTTTTCTTTTTCTTACACGCGACTCCTTACAGGACATTTTGTTCAATGCGAAAACTCAGTGTATAAAAAAGTTTGTACTTCATACGAATTATCCGGGACATTATAACTTTAATATGTATCATCGTTGTGAATTCTCTCTGACTCTGCCACCCGAAAACAATTCCACGGAATCTGGAAAGTTAATCGACGTTACTCCTTCTCCGGTTACGGTAAGAAAAACTTTTTCGCGTACGTGTGATTTAATACGGATGTATTGCTTACTTGACTTCATGAGTCTTGTCTTGTCTAGATCACCGCGTATACAAAGTGGGACAGAGTGAGCGAGCAATTGAAGGCGAGTGCACGGCCCGTGGTGTTGAATCGCGCGTCATCGACCAACACCACGAACCCATTCGGTTGCACGTTCTGTTACGGGATAAGGGATGCGATTGTCGAAGTTATGGCCAATCAACATATCGCTAGTGTGACTTTGTATAGAACAGTGTGACCTTGATACTTTATATAATGCACTTGAGTAACTTGGTTCATGACAAAAACACAATTATGTATAAAGATGATAAACTATATATATATATATACATATATATAATATATCTTTCAAAATTAATTCTGCCAGTCAAAAACACAAAGTAGGATAAAACAATCTTGTATACAACAAGAAAGAATACCAGGACGCTTTTGTTTTTTTTTTTTTTTTGTATATTCTTTGTCATCAATATTTCAAAACACAATGACGTGAAGAACCGGCTGTCGATTGAGCACAAGTAGGATTTGAACGATTGCTGAGATGAAAAGATCTTGGTTCTTCTGAGCTTTTGAAGTCTCGCATGAAGAGAGAGAGAGAGAGAGAGTCACGCTGAATTTCCGCCGCGACCTTGTTACGCGTGGATTCGGTCGCGACATACTGCCGTGTCTCTTGATAGACGTTAGCTCTATACGATTCCATATCAAAGAATCTATAGCTATAAGAAGAGGACACATATAAAGATTTACATTTGCGTTTGTTATTTTCTGTTAAAAAAAAAGGGACAATTAAGACACGTACGTGTAGACGATATTTCTACAATAAGATAATTGATCCATTGTGGTTTTCTTTTTTTTTTTGTTTCGTATATGTTACGGTCAATGAGCGGATTTTAGTCACATTTAAGTGTAACATGTATATGATGCGACCCACGCCTGTGGTAATGATTCGAATAAATATTTTAATCTGAAGACGCAAAGAAGCAGAAGAAATCGGGCGAGAGAATATGAACATTTTTATATAGGCAACATAATCTCTTTTTAATCTACAATTATAAGGATTGTTTTACAATTACGTGTATAATAATCTCAACCCGTATACATAATTGTTCTTAAAGTAAATAAATAAATAACTTTCACAAAAACACTCTCTTTCGTAATGCAAATTTTTTAACATGGTCATGTGAAGAAAAAAATACTGAAATATGTAAGCTAAAAAAAAAAAAAGATATAGTGTTAGTTTTTATCATGTGAAGCATTAAGAAAAAAAAAAAAAAGAAGATGTTGCGCGATAGTGATACATACGTATATATCCAATTAAGGTTTTGTAATACATGTATTATTGTACTTTATACATAGCCATATACATATTAGATATATTGAATTATATCGAAAACGAATAAAGCGCAAGAAAGTATCAAAGAATGTTTAGGATTTCTAACAAAATCTTAATCTTGTTTGCGAACGTATGAGCCAATCGTCTCGCAAAGTTAGAATTTGTTCAAACAAAAACAGAAGTGTTTCAATCATTTTGCTCACGAGTGCACGTAAAATCGGCCAAAACGCTATAGAACTATAACGTATCAGTAATATATTATTGTATTAGTCTCTTGTTCGTTTGTTTGTTTTTTTTTATAAGATCACAGATTTCTACATATAAGTATGTATAGTACAAGCGTAATTTATTGTATGTGACAAAAAAGTTCATAAATTATAAAGAAAACATTATAAATAATTATATATATACATATATTGTATAATGTAATAAAACTATTTTTGTTGTATCTACATGCAGTTTATTTTCAATTTTATTTGTTATTACATTTAGGTTTTCGTTGTGGAAAGAAGGAAATTTAAATTTCTTTTTAGAATTTACAATATATACCACACATAAAAAATCAAGTAGTCAAAATAAATTTTATTCTAATTTTTGTCTTAAACATTTTCCTAGTGTGTTTTGTTTTTATAACTGACTTGTATCAGAAAGAAAACTGAGAGCGGCATCAGTTTAGCTGTTATTTAGCTTTTCCGCCTTTTTCATCACCGCTACGTCCATGGTGGTGCACATTGGTAACTACGCAGCTCCTCTCTACTTTCGAGTGTAAATGTATGTACATAGATACCAACAATTGATAAAGTGGATGAAAGATATCAGCTGATTCTCAATAACAAAATAGTAGAGCTACAGCTAAAAGATGTCGATTGTTTTATTTGAATAATTTTTAAAATATCGAAATTACTTTGGTTGAGAATTAAATTACAAAATGACGAGCAGCGAGGGGAAAGCAGATGAGAGAAGCGGGCGAAATGTCTTTGTTACTTCGCTTATTGTAAGTAAACTTATAATAAATTAAAATGAAGATTCTCTCTCTCTCTCAATCACACAAATATAATATTTTAAACATGTTAACAAGAAAAAAAAACACTTGCGAGTTTCACACTTCTCTATACTTTTGTATGTAATTTATTTAATATTCAGGCAGGAGGTGCTGCAGGAACATTCGTGGATATCACATTATTTCCATTAGACACATTGAAAACTCGATTACAGAGCGCACAAGGATTTTTAAAAGCTGGAGGCTTCACAGGTCTTTACAAAGGAATTTATCCGGTTCTGGTTGGATCGGCACCAACTGGTAATACAAAAATGTTGTAGATTGTCTAAGAGAAGATCTGAGAGTTTTACTCACATGTGTGTGCATATTTCTTCACACTTTTAGCCGCACTATTTTTTGTAACATATGACGAAGTTAAGGCTGCAATGCAACCTCATGTTCCTGCACACTATCACACGGCGATTCACATGGGAGCAGCAACACTGGCAGAAATGGTGCATTAGTTAATATTCCTATTCTATATAAATTTTTTTTTTTGCAAATCAGATTTAAAAATCCAAATTTAGCACCACGCCTTATATTATGCCTTCAAAGATTTCTCCAAAAGACAATTATCTAAATTTGCTAGAATTTACATAATCTTTTTAAGTCAGATTGCACGAAAAGTAATTTGTCACTAAACCAAGAAAAGAGTTTGGCGACGTATAAATGATATTAATTTTATTTTATTTTATACACACAAAGGTTGCGTGTTTAGTACGGGTTCCTGTAGAAGTTGTTAAGCAGAGAAAACAGGCGTTAATACTCGACAAAGAATTTCTCGGCCTAAAAATACTCTATCGTGGATATTGGACTACGGTATTACGAGATACGCCATTTAGTATTATACAGTTTCCGTTATGGGAATATTTCAAAGCGTTTTATAGTTTTCACATTGAAAGAGAAATATACCCAGTGGAAAGCGCAATCTGTGGTGCTGTTTCAGGTGTTTTATATTACATGTATATACATACATTATATGTAATATAATATCATATTACATAATTAATTCATTAGAAATGAAAAAAAAAATGAAATTCATGCAATTTCTGTATATAAATCACAATGCAACGTTATGCAATTTTTTTAGGCAGTATCTCTGCAGCCGTCACAACTCCGTTAGATGTTGCAAAAACAAGAATAATGCTCGCCAGTAGAACATTGCTCTCGTCAGAATTGACGATACCAAGCGTTCTTCACAGGGTGTACGGAGAAAAGGGTTTTTCTGGGTAAACAATTCTTGTTTGTTCTTGTTACAGTAATTTTGTGTATCTCTTATACATCACTCTCTCTTGTCATCAAGACATCTTTGTTAATAAACTTTTCACAGTTTTTTTTTTATTTTAGATTATTTGCTGGTTTTGCGCCAAGGGTAACGTGGATCACGTTAGGTGGTTTTATATTCTTTGGAGTCTACGAAGAAACAAGAGTGCTCACGCAGACAATATTTCCACAACTGAAATAAAATCCAGTCGAGAGAAATATTGTTAATTAAAAGAAGATGCAAATATTTGTATACATCAACATTTTGTAAATAAATTATAAATGAAATAAAAAATATGTTATTTAATTACAAAAGATTTTATTTCCTTATCTTCGGTATAAAATCTATAGTTTCTATACATTGCTTCCATCTCCATGAAAAAACTTAACCAAATGCATACTTTGAACGTAATGACACGTGAACTGTATATATATGTATATTGTGAATATAAAAATATATCTATAAACATATATTTTAAACCATTATTATTATGGAATTTGTTTACACAATTTTACAGTTTCGATTTCAAACTGCTCATTAATTTTTCTAACTTCATTGCTTTCTGCAAATTTCCGCTTATGTTTAGTTTTCCTGACATAAATGCTGCGGTAGGTTTTAGTTTACCTGTGTGCATTAACAAAGTAAATTACAAAACTTCCTCTTGTGTTAAAATTATCACGAGTACGTAAATTATATAAATAAGAACTGTGATATTGTACAAAAAGTATTTGCTTTTAAGTCACTTATCAAAAAAAGATTGGCAAAAAGTTACCTGAAAACATAGCAAAGAAATTGTCCGAATCCATCGTAAGCACTGCATCAGCTGGTTGATTCGGTTTTCCCTTGCCACTACAACCTTTACCGTTCTTCAGATCAAGAAACCATTCACCAGGCTCTTTTCCTGTTAAAAAAAAAAAATAATCAGAGCCGATTGCTTTTTTCAATTTATATATCTACGGATTTTGTTTAGAAATAAAATGTGTTAAAGCAATAAATTACCTTTCAAATTAAATTGATATATAGCACCAGTCTTGTTAACCAGTTCGGTGCTCAAGTTAGCGTCAATGGCGTTAAATATCTTTCTCACTTGACCACTTAATTGGTTTTCGTTACTCAATGTACCTTCGAGTTTTGAAATGTTTTCATCCACAAAGAAATCCGGTATTAAACTGTCTTTATATTCTATAAGAAAGAATTATCAAATTAAAATATTGTACATCTTAATTTAATCGCGCGCGCGACAATATTAATATCATCCATTACCTGGATTACACGCGTAGTTTGTGAAATCAGTAATGCCCTCGCTTCTCAACAGATCCTCATCAATCAGAAATTGTCCGGTAACTGACTTGCTGTCTTTACACACCAATGCGTAAACGGCATCTGCCATAATTTCGGGTTTTCGGCAATGATCGGCCGATTCCGAACCCTGTAGCATACTCATTGCGGCGGTATAAATACCTAAAAAAAAAAAAAAAAAAGCGCGATATCTCAATAAATTAATCTTTTAACGTACGTAAATTTTTGAAACAACAGTGAGATATATTTGCTCGCCGTAATCTCTCAGAATACCTGTTCTGGGCCAAACGGCATTAACCGCAATGCCGTCGGATTTAAATTCCTCGGCCATACCGAGCACGCACATAGACATCCCGTATTTGGCCATTGTATAAGCAACGTGATTTTGAAACCAAACTGGCTTCATGCTAAGCGGCGGGCTCAGGTTCACTATGTGAGGGTTTGTACTTTTCTTTAAATACGGTATACACACTTTCGATCTGGAACACAAGTTCGTTCACCTGGTAATAATCTATGAAACGCAATCTTTGTGGAGCATGTATGCAAGACTGATATGTAAAAAAAAATACATGTGCTTGTTGTATAAGCGTACGTAAATTAGCTCTGTAAAAAACGACATATATTTTTTATATTTAACGACGTATATTTTTTGTATATTTTTTGTGGCCGAAGAATCCATTAAATGTGTGTGTGTCCCTCTCTCTCTCTCTTTCTCTCTCTCTACATTGGTAATTATTTTTTTTCTAAAACATTAACCATTTTTTTATACCGACGGAGTTCAACTATACTTACACAAGAAATGTTCCTCTCGCGTTGATGTTATTCATCAAATCGTATCTCTTCATGTCGGTTGCGAGTGTGCCTGTTAAAGAAATAGCGCTCGCGTTATTAACAACAATATCAATACCACCGAACTTGTTGATGGCATTCTCGACCGCGGCAATTACTTGCGTCTCATCGCGTATATCCACCACACAAGGTAAAGCTTTGCCACCGGCTGCTACAACTAAAAAACAAAAAAAAAATCCATAAAAATTCACGAATGACGCATTAGAAAGTTTTTGCAATAACAAACAAATTAACAAGCGTGAACAAAGTTACCTTCGTCAGCTGCTGTGTAAATAGTGCCCGGTAGTTTCGGATGCGGTTCAGCGGTCTTTGCGGCTATAACAATATTTGCACCATCTCGAGCAGCTTTCAACGCTATGCTCTTTCCAATACCTCTGGAAGCACCTGTGATAAATATGGTGCGACCAGCCAATTTCCTGCGATCCAATGTGTTAAAAGAAAACGAAAAAGATCAGTTTCTATAAAACTAGAAATATATAAAGAACCGATCTAAAAAATCAGCTTCTTTTTTTCAATGATATATAATTTGTGCGCGTACATAATCTTGATCGCAAATTGTTTCAATATACTTGTGTTATGTAATTTATGCAACTGTTATTATTACAAACTACGCTTACCCCGTATTAATCATGTTTTCTTTATAATATGGCGAGCACCAGTGTGAGATTGTGCGATGAAGAAAAGATGAAGAAATTAAAAAAAAAAAAAAAAGTAAATTAAAAAAAGACCCTTATCTCTCACGTCACGTTGCCGAAATAACGAGAAAGATCCCTTTTAAACGATCGTCCTTTTAAATGTCAACATCTCTCGCTTTGCGGAGTTCAAAGTTCGCACACGTAAATTGTGACAAATGTTTCACGCAACGTCACTACGTGTCGATTCTCCAAGTCCAAAGTTCGTCATTTCTTATATAGAGCGCATTCCAATCACTGATGCAAGATCGAGCAGAGAGCAACAACGGCAGCATCGAAGCGGTGGGGGCACGCACACAAGCGAGAACTGCCGTCCGTGTGCGCACACGGATGGGGCGGTTCTCGCTTGTGTGCGTGTCCCCACCGCTTCGATCTCTCGTTGCTCTCTGCTCGATCTTGTAACTCTGATTCCAATGGGTGCCGTTCAAACAACTCAACGGTTGAGAGATCATCACTTACGATAGGACTATTCTTCAAAATCTGCTGCGGTTCCAAAAGTATTAATCCAATCAGAAGTAATTATCTCTCTCAACCGTTGTGCAACTGTTGAGTTGTGTCTGAACGCACCCAATTATCATAGATATTTAACGTCACAAGAGTAGCGCACGAGACGGCGCGTAACGAGACGAAGTACAGTTAAAAGCCCATTCTACACGTTTAGGCGCAAGCGCAAACGCGAGCAGCAGGTCTCGTGGACTAGCGATCAATCGCGTTGGTCAATTTGGCCGATTCGGTCGGCGCGATTGGTCAGTTCGTCCGCGAAACCCGCCACCACGCGTTTTGCGCGTCATTTAAAAACGAGCTTTAAATCCCTCAAGTCGGTCACCTGATTCCGTTCCCCTATCGAGTTCCCTTCACATCCGCCCGCGCGCACGACTTTACCTCGTGTATATGTAGGAGCCACGCACACAAACCACCAAACCACGATGATGGGGGAACTATGGAACGGGTGATTGTCCAGAGTGTCAGCCCACTGATATCCTTATCAGTGAGTATTGACCAACAATTGCGTGTCTCTGTTATCCGTCTGATATAAAACGGAATGTTCGATCATGTCACCGCGAAGGTATTTAGCATCACGTCCGCGGAAGTGTTTCCCGAAAGGAATGATATCGCAAATTACGTGACATGGCGTGATTCGGTCACGCAGCTAAAGTAGAATTTTGCAAGGGCGTGTGGAGGAGGAGGTTATGCGAACTCTTTATTATATCTGTCAAACGCGTTAGCAGCAATGGACGAGCACATGCATTTGTGGCGGGACGCCAACAAGTTGTCGTTCGCATTCGAGGACAAACCGAACGGTATCATTTCCAAGCTCGTCGCCGTTAGAGATCACATTTTTTTAACGACCACGAGCAACGGTCTTTATTACGGCGAGGTGTCGTTCTCGGAGACCGCGTCGCCGAGACTCGCCGTGTTCAAACGATCCGGTCTCGACGCCGTCGACGTAGCGTCGAATTCCGAACATTTGTTCGTTGTAAATACAAACGGACACGTTTTGAAAGTAAATCCCGAGAATATGGGCGTTGTGGACACGATAATAATCAAGGAAGAAGTGAAGTATTGCAGCCACGGGTACGTCTGTGTTGTTGTCTTTTGTCGTTCGTTGTTTGTATTTTGTGATTTTTTTTTTTTTTTTAATTTGAATTCGAACAATGAACTCTTTGACTCCGCAGATACAAGGACAACGAGGTGGTGAAGGTGAAGTCTGTTGCTGTGAGCGATCACGCGGCGTTGTTTGTCACCGAAAACGGACAGCTTTGGGCTAGCGGCAATCAGCCTCAAATAGAGATAAGCAGCGCAGAACCAAAGAGAGTTGGATTCTTTCGAGGAAAGACGGTGTCCGAGGTCGCTTGCGGTTCGAATTTCAATGTAGTTACCGTTAGAAAAAGTAATAAGCTCATAAAAGACGACACCGACAGCGAAAACGATTCGGAGGAAGAAGTATTTGTTAATTCTTGTCCGCAATGTCTGAACAACGTTAGGCTGAGTCCGGGCAGTGTGACGTCTTCGGACACGTGTCTCACCGGTCCTCACGCCCAGCAGTTCAGCGAGGATCGATCAACAAACTCCATTAGCGCTTTGTCCACCGCCAGCAAAGAACATCTTTTTCTGCCGGAGATAGACAAGAGGGAACAGTATTCTTCCGGTATTGTTGAGAACGGCGAGGATTGTCTCGGTAATTTGACGGATTGCGAAAAAGGCGAGAAGAAGAACGTTATATTCATAAACACCGAGACCGCTCGGCAGTTTCTAACCAGACAGTTGTCTTGGGTCTCGTCCTACGGGAGCGCCAAGGAGGACATTCCTTTGGAGAGCGTCGATCGATCGACCAGATTGATCAAGCAAAATGTATCGACTGTGGCGAACTTGGTTTACGAGGGAGTGAAAAATGTCGGAGGCAAAGTCGTAACTTTATCCAGACACATGAGCGGAAGTTCCGATATCAACGAGTCCAAAGCTGACAGCAACGAGCACTTGGAAGAACAGGGAATTATTTACGCCAAACCCGCCACGACCAGTTTGGCGTTGAGTCTGCGATGCGAGGAGTTTCCTTGGTCGTCGAGCACGGGTTCGTCGGAACACGAATTGTCTCAGCAAGGATTGAACGAAAGAATCAACGCGCTCTCTCGCACCGGCAGCAACATACTGGGAACAGAACTCTGGACATGGGGCGACGTGCATTACGGACAGTTGGGAACGGGTGATATAATTAAACGAACGCATCCGGTATTGGTGGCAAAGCTCAGCAATACCGGGATCCGGAAAATTTCCTGCGGTGCCTTTCACGTGCTTGCTTTAACATTGGACGGTAGAGTGTTCGCATGGGGACGTAACAACTTCAAACAGGTCGCGTTGCACAGCACAATAGATCAGAGCGCTCCTCAGTTATTCGCCACAAAACTATCTTCCGACGAAAGAGCCATCGATATGGCAGCTGGTAACTTCCATAGTCTGATAATGATGCATCACGGATTGTATTTTATGGGCCAGTCGAATAAGATCGGCGATATGTTTCAACTTGACGTTCAAACGAAAGAATCGAGCAGATCTCCGAGAGAGATCTTCAGTTCCGGACGATACACTTGTTGTTCTGTGATAAACGAGCCGGCAATAAATGTCGCGGAGAATCTGATAAGCGATCAGATCTTTCTCGAGGAGATGTTGACTGTTTATCAAAATCTCATCAGACCGTTTCAGAAGAAGAGCGTGGGCGCGACTCAGGAAGCGAATGCGTACGAGACTCTGTGTCGTTGTTACGCAGAACTGATGAATTTTAATGTATTGAACGTTACGAGTTTGTGGGATTATTTCAATCACATCGGAGAGGCGTACGAAATCGCGATTGTTGCCAATATAGAGGAATTTACCGCGGTGTACAAATATTATTTAAATGCTATTTGCGACGTTATGTCCCTCGGCGGTTTTGTGCATATTGCGAAACTTGTTGAAGTGCCACAAGTAGTATCGAGTATATTTGTAGATAGTTTGAAAAGTAGCGATGTAAAAAGAAACAGCAAGGATGTCATTGTGACAATGGCGTTGCAGCATCCTTTGTGCAACCTGAACAGGTATATGTCGTCATATGTCGCGTGAGATTTTCACACACGATTTTTACTTAATGAAATTTTTATATACCATAACATATATATAAAATTTATATATTAAAATTTTAGATATAAGGATACGATTCACAGTTTAATAAAAAGCAACGGAACAAGAATGGGGATCGAACGGTTGCAAGAGGCTCTCATAAAATGGGAGCAGGTGCACGACGAACAAGAGAGACGTCAAAAGGAGGCGGAGGTCACGAAGTCGTTTTGGGAGAACTCCGGCAAACTGGGAGAATCGTTGAGGTCGCCCAACAGAAGACTTGTCAGAGAATCAAAGGCGTATCCACTGTCGATATACAATTCCGGCAGATTCTCGTCTCATTGGTTTGTCCTGTTGACGGATATTTTTATACACGTTACCGGAACCACACACACGGTCCATTCGCTGCGAACTTTATGGGTGGAACCTCTGCCTGATTCCGAAAACATACAGGTGCGAAATTGAATTGCGCCTCACGCAACTCTAACGTGTAAATTGCTTGATGTAAAAAAATTTTGTTTTTTTTTTTTCAGAACGCTATATCGATTGTTACGCCAGAAGATAATTTTATATTGTACACCCCCACTCCGCCTGAACGTAACGACTGGTTACACGCGCTACAAAATACCATAAAGTGCTGCTTGCAACGAGTGATCGGAATTGTGCCTCCTTTAGCACGCTCGAGCTCGTTTACGTTTACAAAACACAGCGTCTTCAAAGACGCAACTTACACCGGTTTGTGTGTAAAATAATATATTAGCGAAAAAGTATCTCGCGCGTACTCTCTCTCTCTCTCTCATTTAATTTTAAATCGCGTCAATTGACAGGTCGATGGCTTAACGGTAAACCGCACGGTTCTGGAAAACTGGAGTGGTCCGACGGTCGTTCGTACGTCGGTCAATTTCACAAGGGAATTATTCATGGAACTGGAAAGATGGAAATTCCGACGCAGGGCGTTTACGAGGGCCAGTGGAAGGACGGTCAGCAAAACGGATACGGAACGATGAAGTAAGAGAAATAAATTTGTACGTATTTTTGGGAAAATTGATTGAAAAATTAATGAAAAAACAAAAAAAAAACAAAACAAATCTAGATACGCCAATGGAGATTTTTACGAAGGATATTTTAAAGACGGATTACCTCACGGCCACGGTGTGAAGAAAGAAGGTCACTTTATGGCGTCGGTCGCGTCTGTTTACATCGGAGAATGGGCCGGCGGTGTCAAGCAGGGATATGGAATAATGGACGACATTATGACAGGTATGAAGTATTTGTTGTTGTGCTTAGGCACAAGTGCCTAAGCTGTGAATCTTTTGACGAAGCGCAATATCGAAATTGCACAACGAGACTGTGACTCTGATGCCATCTTTTTAATCGCAGGTGAGAAATATCTCGGATCGTGGAGCAACGGTATGAAACACGGAAACGGTTTGATTGTGACCCTCGATGGCATTTATTACGAGGGCGCGTTCACGCAAGATGTTCTCACGGTAAGTACACACGCGTGTGTCTCTAAATAGAAATTTTTATTTCCGATTGTTTTTTTTTTTTTAATCATCACTCTATCGTCATCTTTGTATTGCAGGGACATGGAGTAATGGTGTTTGAGGATGGTACGCATTACGAAGGTGAGTTCAAGTCGGCGGGAATATTCTGCGGAAAGGGTATATTGACGTTTCGAAGTGGCGACAGATTGGAGGGCAATATGAACGGCGCTTGGAACGAAGGCGTTAAAGTTATCGCCACGTTGCACATAAACAAAGCTAACGGAACTGCACAACCAAATTCGAAGCCAGCGTAAATATCTGTGTTACACGCATGGGAGACACTCTCGTACTCTCGTTTATACGTTCATTCATTTTTTTTTTTTTTTTTTTTTTTATTCCAGGTCCTTCGGAAAATTTTATCG